CACACACGTGAGAGAGGGTGCTAACCATACCTGAGGGCCGCTGCAAGCCAAACTGCACCTTAGTGGCAATGCCTGCGTGGTCTGTTCCCGGCACCCAGCGCACATTGAATCCGCTCATTCTCTTCCACCGCACAATCGTGTCCTCCACTGCTGCTGTGAGCCCCACACCACACCACACCACACCACACCACACACCTGGGTGGCGATGCCAAGCCACACACACCAAACCTAACCCAAGCACCTTCAGTTCGCCCAAACACACCTGGGTGGCAATGCCGGCATGGTCCGTCCCTGGAACCCAGCACACATTGTATCCGCTCATGCGCTTCCACCGCACGATCGTGTCCTCCACTGCTGCTGTCAGGCCGTGGCCGATGTGCAGAGCCCCCGTCACATTGGGAGGGGGCACCACCTGTACGGGAGAAGTGGGGTTGCGGGAGGGGAGAAGGGAAAGGAGAAAGGTTGATGTGGGAGTGTGGGGAAGGGAGGACATGGGGAAGGGAGGACATGGGGAAGGGAGGACATGGGGAAGGGAGGACATGGGGAAGGGAGGACATGGGGAAGGGAGGACATGGGGAAGGGAGGACATGGGGAAGGGAGGACATGGGGAAGGGAGGACATGGGGAAGGGAGGACATGGGGAAGGGAGGACATGGGGAAGGGAGGACATGGGGAAGGGAGGACATGGGGAAGGGAAGCTCCTCCACTGCTGCTGTCAGCCCGTGGCCGATGTGCAGCGCACCGGTCACATTCGGGGGAGGCTCGACCTGCAGGATGGTGGAGGGGGGGAGGGGGAAGGGGGTGGAGGGCAGCGAGAAGCGAAGCGAGCAGAGAGTGGTTCGGTAGCCAAGCAACAATGGGCTCATGTAGGACTGTTTCCAACCAGGCTATGAGAATGGGATCAGATCAGATCAGATCAGACCAGATCAGATCAGATCAGATGCAAGCAATGAAGGCAATTGATGAAGGAGTTGAAGTAGGACAAGAATGCTTACAATGACAAATGGCAACTTGGTGGATATTTTAGTTGACTCAAAAACCGTGTGTGATAAGTCGATTTTTGAGTCGACTCAAAAAAGGCAATTGATGGAGTTGAAGAAGGACAAGAGTGCTTACAATGACAAATGGCAACTTGGTGCTCTGGCTGTCGCCCTTGAAGAACCCTGCATGCTCCATCCGGGGTAAACCCACCAATGCCTTTTATTGAGGCGCCTCATAAGAGGGGCAAGATCACTCACAATGACAAAGGGAGGCTTGGTGCTCTGGTTGTCGCCCTTGAAGAACCCTGACTGCTCCCACCACTCGTACCACCTGGTGGTGGGGTTGTGTTGTGAGGCCAAGCAAGGAGCGGAAGACAAGGAAAGAGATGGAGAGAAACAGGAGAGACAGAAGGAGGCTTGGTGCTCTGATTGTTGCCCTTGAAGAACCATGCGTGCTCCCACCACTCGTACCACCTAGTGGGTATGTGTTGCCAAGAGAGAACTACAAGGAACAAGAAACGACAAGGTGGGAAAGGGTGAGAGCAGTGCACTGTGCTCCAGTTGTATCTGCATTGATGATACAACTTGTGTAAGACACGCCTCGAACTCGACAAGCAATATTCTTCGCATGCCTAGGCTCCTTCATGGACGGTTACACTGCATCCACATTATAGACCAGATCCGTTACTATGTACAGTCCATCTACACTCACGATGCTTCAACGGCCTTGGGGTTGTACGCATTGGCCATCTCCTTGGCTTCTTCTGCCCGGGCTCTGTAAGCAGATTCGCTGCATTCGCGTTATAGAACTGACTCGTTACTATGCATATTTCAGCTACAGCACTCACAATGCCTCAACAGCCTTCGGATTGTACGCCTTGGCCATCTTCTTGGCGAGGTTCTTCTTCTGCCCAGGCTTCGTGGGGGCGAATACACGTTATCCGAATTATAGAACTAGTTCGTTAATGTGTACAATTCTTCTACACTCACGATGCCTCAACAGCCTTGGGGTTGTACGCCTTGGCCATCTCCTTGGCGAGGTTCTTCTTCTGTCCGGGCTCCGTGGGCGGATTCACTGCATCCGCCTCCTCGCCTGCCCCTCCTCCTGCTGCTACCGCAGCCGCTTTCTTGGCCTTCGCCTCTGCCTTCTTGGACGGCTGAAGCAGCAAGAGAAGGCAGACATGGAAAACGGGAGAGGGAGAGGGGGAGGGGGTGGGGCAGAGAGAGGAAAGGAAGGTCACGATTATGACTCTTTGACACCTAACAAAGAAAAGGCCCAAAATTCACATGTGACACAGTTTTTCGCACATTTGCAGAAACGACTGTCTTTAATAATTATCGAATAAGTAGGCGCTAGAAGGCAATCACGGCCACAATGCACACCTCAGCCGAAGCGGCAGCAGCAGCGGCTGCCTTGGCCTTGGCTGCCTTCTCTGCAGCCTTCTGCTTCTTCAGCTCCTTCTCCCGCGCCTACCCGTGACACAATGGATGGGTGACAGTAACGAGGGATGACAGTAATGGGGGTTGAAAAACAGAACCGGATTAAGAAGCCAGAGATGAACCACTTGACAGATCCCACACGCAGGATAACTGAATTATACGTCCTACTCTGGTGACAATAACGGGTTGTCGGACCTGAAAAATTGTGCATGAGAGACAGTAACAGGTGATGACGAATGAACCGGGCAGATAATCAGAGCCGTCCATCCGTCGTTCCCCCACACTTTGCCTTGGACAAGCCAACCGTGTGAGCCAATCACGAAAGACTACGAGCACCCTAACTGTTGCAAGAAAGCTTGGATTAAAACCTATGCTGACGCAATAAGGTCATTTCTGAGTTGACTCAAACATTGATACGCTGACGCGATCAGGGCGCGCTGTGGACTGAAATGCCCGAATTCGTGTAGAGCCGCCATGGCTTTGAATGACCTTTGCCGGAATGCAGACTGCTCGTGAGGAGTCCTCACTGCAGACTAACCGTGGATTAGACAAAAACGAAAGGTAGCACCCTCTAAAGTCCTCAGTATTGTCACCACCACTACAACGCCCACCTTCTCCTCCTTCTTCTTCTTCCTTTCAGGGTCCTCCTCCTTCTCTCCAGCAGCCGCATTGGCCTCGGAAGGAGGCGGTGCGGCAGCTGCTGCAGCTGCCTGAGCATCCTTTTCCTGGAAATTGCAAAAGAAATCAACAAAATGATTTAAGAAAACTGATTGAATTCCCGAAATTTTCTAGAAGAGGCTTCAGGAGGCACTGGTGCTGCTGCCTGGAATCCTTCTGTGTAAATGTATAAGAAGTCGACACGAAAGAAAACGAAAGGAAGACACAAGAACGTGGGGCGGATGAACGCGATTACTACAATATTCCGCGGCTCGAAGCTTTAGCTTGTGTGGCGAAAGCAGCTACAAACGGCCCTGCTAGCCTTGCGTGATTTTTGAGGCGCCTAAAAAATCGCGCGGCTCGAAGCTTTAGCATGTCTGACGAAAGCAGCTACAAACAGCCCTGCTAGCCTTGCGTGAACACCGTCGACGCTCCTGAGATACGGACGGAACTCTCGTGGCTCCGGTAAAGTTAACAGAAACTGGACGACGATCTTACCGCCTCGCGTGTGTTTGTCATAGCGTGTTAGCTGGACGAGAATCTCCATGCTTGAGTTGAAGTACTCTAAAGCGGACTTCGTGCCGTTCGGGTATGATAAACATTCGTTAGCCGCGATCGCGGTACATCATACTATCAATAAATCATGCAGTGATCGCGATCACGGCCCGTAGAACCACCTCAGAAGCAAGTATTCAACGCGATCGCAAGCTTCCTATCGCATATGGGGTCTTGATCAGACGAACCATAATCCGTTACAGAGCATTTAAAGGTAATGAACAGCCGAGACGACAACGGATCGAGCGAGCAGGCTCACCTCTGGTCCCATGGCGTTCTGACGAAGAGCCGCGACTAGGCAAGGCTACAGTTGCTAGGCTGGGATCGCGGAGCGGGGTAAGAGGCAAGTCCCTAGGATGGAACTATGGGAAAGGAGGAGCAGATGCTGTGCAAGTCTGGTAAGAGTTTCACTTTTTGCGCGGTAGAACGGTTTATTAAGAGAACAGAATGGTTAGGTAGAGTTTGAAGTGAAACTGAATCTGAGTTCAACCTCGATGATCGGAGGTACGGAGTTTCTGGCTGAGGTTTGCGGACGGAGATCCCAAGGAACGACCTACGCCAGACGAAGAATCTCCAATCGACGGTTCACAAACGTCCGACCGCCAAAATCGAGGCTGGTTGGTTTTCGCCGTGGTGACAAGGGTTGCTCGACGAATTTCGCGAAACAAAACTGCGAAGGTATTAGCTCGCGCTACGATTTCAACTTCTGCTGGAAAAGTCGAGATTCTGGGTTTTGATAGGTGACTCGTTATTGCGCAATATTCTACTCAGCATTTGAGTTGCTAGAAAACCAGTGCACGCAGCACGTCATACCAAGAAATATTGTTCACTTGTTACGGATCACTAACATAGGGGATTCCGCTCTAAGCAGAACCCTAATTTCAGCTCAAGCAGCACCTTTCTCACTCGACCGCTGCGCGTCATGTCTACAAACGGAGGCGCGTGTGCCTGTAGAGAGGATCAAGCGAGTACAGGCGAGCAGGCTTCGAAAATGACTTCCACTTGCGAGAGCAGCGACTGTGCAAGGCCGTGTAACGGGTGCAACTGTATCGAGGATAACAACCGCGCCATCCAATCAGGCAGCTGTTCTTCCGTCAATGGCGGTTGCAGCAGCTCCGATCATGCCTGCGGCTCGTTTCCCCCCGCTACCACCTCCACGAGTAGTGTTACCACTAGTATTACCGCGAGTGTTACCGCTAGTGTTACAGGTAGCGCTACCGCCACTAGAAGCGACAGCAGAGACAGCAGCAACGGCGGATGCAGCAACAGCGCGCCGAGCATCCGCATCAGCGGAAGCGGCGCAGCGGTGAGGGCGCGGGGGAGCAGAGGCGGAAGACTTCTGTGCGGGGAATGCGGGGAGCAACGCGCCATGGTGAAACGGCCCAAGACCGGCCAACAGGTGCGCGCGCCCCCTCGTGTTCCCCCGTTCCTATCCCCCTTGCCCCCTTCACCCCTCCCCCCTCACCCCCAGTCTCCCTCTCCCCTTGTCCCATCGATTCCCCCACTCGTGTCCCTTCAGGAGTGCTTCTTCCGCCTGTTCGAGTCGGAAATCCATGCCACCATCATGGCCGTCGCAAAAGCATTCGATGCGTACATGAGTTATTGTTCATGCCTGCGTGCTACCCATTGCCCCCTCCTCCCACCCAGGTGTGCAAAGAGTGCTTCTTCCGTCTGTTCGAATTGGAAATCCATGCCACCATCGTTGAAAACAAACTCTTCAAGCGAGGGGAAAAGGTCGCAGTGGCTGCGTCAGGGGGGAAGGGTGAGTAGTAGCGTTTCATCTTCGCATCCTTTATAGCCTCTAGAGATGTGCAATTTACTGCAACCTTAGATGTTCCCTACTGCAACGTACCCATCTCCATCCCCTCACCTCTTGCTGAACCCGGGGGCTTCAGAAAAGGCCCTTCTTGCCTCTTGCTATTCCCGTCCTCTCACTTTCCCCTTCACCCCATTCCCTTCAAGCATCCTCCAGACTCCACCATGCTGGCGCACATACATCATCTCTCTCCTCAGCACACGCCACGACTACGGGGTGCGGCTCTTGTTGCTCCTGGAGTGAGCTTCCAGCTTTGATAGAACGTGCTCCTGATCCTTCACCCTCCCTTTCCCCCCTTCCCCCAGACTCCACTGTGCTGGCGCACATCATGTCTCTCCTCAACCCCCGCCACGACTATGGCCTGCAGTTGTTTCTGTGTGAGGTCAGCTTTCTGACCATGCTCCTGATCCCTCCCATCCCCCCCCCCCCTTCCCCCCCTTCCCCCAGACTCCACCGTGCTGGCTCACATCATCTCCCTCCTCAACGCTCGCCACGACTACGGCCTGCAGCTCTTCCTGCTCTCCATAGACGAAGGCATCACGGGGTACAGAGACGACTCGCTAGAGACAGTCAAGCGGAACGAGAAGCAGGTGAGTACGTTGTACTGCGCAAGGGGCGGATGTGTGTCGGCGGGAAGGGGGGAGAGACCTACTGTGTGTGTGCTATGGCCTGCAGCTGTTTCTGCTTTCCATTGACGAAGGGATCACGGGGTACAGTCAAGAGAAATGAGAAGGAGTTGAGCCCGGGTGTGGGTGTGGGTGTGTGTGTGTATGTGCCAAGGTCTGCACCTCTTCCTTCTCTCCATTGATGAAGGCATCATGGGGTACAGGGATGGCTCACTAAAGACAATCAAGCGGAACGAAAAGCAGGTGAGCGTGACAGGTACGGCATATTCCTCACCGTCCTCTCTTACAAGGACCTCTATGGGTGGGGAGGGGACACCTTGCTGTGGGGTGGACCATTGATGAGAGACGTGCACCCCACGGCAATGGTCTTGCATAGCAGTATGGGTTTCCATCCAGTATTCCCCCCACCATCCTGTCGTTCAAGGACCTCTATTGGTTACTGTGCCTCAGTGCCTCTGGGTTTCTCTCCCCCTCCCTCACCCCACACTACACCATGCAGTACGGCATACCGCTCACCATTCTCTCTTACAAGAACCTCTACGGATGGACCGTGGATGAGATAGTGGCGCCTATCGGTCAGTCTGTGCCTCTGTGTTTCTCACCCCCACCCCCACCATGCTATGCAGTACGGCATACCTCTCACCGTTCTCTCTTACAAAAACCTCTACGGATGGACCGTGGATGAGATAGTGGCGCCTATCCTATAGACCATCGCTCAGTGCCTCTGTGATTCTTTCCTCCACCCTCACCCCGCACTACACCATGCAGTACGGCATTCCCCTCACCATCCTGTCGTACAAGGACCTCTATTGGTTACTGTGCCTCAGTGCCTCTGTGATTCTTTCCTCCACCCTCACCCTGCACTACACACTGCAGTACGGCATCCCTCTCACCATCCTGTCGTACAAGGATCTGTACGGGTGGACCATGGATGAGAAAGGCCGTGCAGAAAAGCATAAATCTTTCCCCATCTTTTCGCTTTCTCTTCTCCCCTCCCCCTTACATGCAGTACGGTATCCCTCTCACCATCCTGTCACACAAGGACCCGTACGAGTGGACCATTGACAGACACACCATGCTTCAATGCTCCATCTCCCTTTCCCTCTCTACCCTTTGTTGACTTATCTGCAGTACGGTATCCCTCTCACCATCCTCTCACACAAGGACCTGTACGGGTGGACCATGGATGAGATAGTGGGGCCTATTGGTCAGTCTGAGCTGACTTTTGAGTCGACTCAAAAGATAGTGGGGTGGGGCCTATTGGTCAGTCTGTGCCTCTGTGTTTCTCTCCCCCACCCCCACCATGCTATGCAGTACGGCATTCCTCTCACCATCCTGTCATACAAGGACCTGTACGGGTGGACCATGGATGAGATTGTCGCAACGATTGGCCGCAAGAACAACTGCACGTTCTGCGGGGTGTTCAGAAGACAGGTGGGCGTTGAGGTATTTTTTTACGACTTCCCTCGTCCTTTCAGACCGATAGAATTAGTAGATCGTTCATAGACTCTTAGAAGGCTTGCAGCGGTTCGAAACCAGTTAGTCTCACCGTGTTCAGAAGACAGGTGCGTTGAGGTTGAGGTTTGCTGGTGGGTCTGTGACAAGGAATGCTGTCTTTGACAAAGTGACTTTTGAGTCGACTCAAAAGTCACCTCTGTGGCGAGGAATGCTGTCATGTGAAAAAGGAAGAGTTTTAAGACGTCTCAAAACTCTTCTTTTTTCACGTGGTTTGCTGGTGGGTCTGTGACGAGGAATGCTCTCAAGGCTGACAGGTGACAAAGTCTCACAGTTTTCTTGACGAGGCACACGTCGCTGCGCTGCTGCTGATGCCTCGCACGGGACTAGTTTTGAGGCGCCTCATGACTTGAGGCATACGTTACTGCAAATGCCTTGACTGCGAATGGTCTTCTGCCCTTAATCTCCTTGAAATGCCCCGCTCCAGGGCCCTGATCATCCTTGTTTTAATGGGCCTCTTAGAATTCCCTTTACATACATCACAGGCCCTGGACAGGGGAGCACCGCACCTGGGAGCGGACGAGCTCGTCACGGGGCACAATGCGGATGACTTTGCCGAGACAGTACTGCTGAACCTGCTGAGGGGAGACGTGGCGAGGCTCGCTGAGCCGCCATCACCACGGGGGAGGACTCTGCCCTCCCCAGGAGCAGGCCGTGCTGCTGCGGAGCACATTTCTCTCTCGATCTCCATCTCTCATTGTTTTTCTGCTCTCTCTCCTCCTGTTGGCCGCCCTCCCATGGCACAAGGCCTTAGACAGGGGAGCAGCCCTCCTGGGAGCGGACAAGCTGGTCACGGGGCACAATGCAGACGATTTCGCCGAGACAGTATTGCTGAATCTATTGAGGGGGGACGTGGCGAGGCTCAGTCGCTGCGCTGCCATCACCACGGGGGAGGACTCTGCCCTTCCCAGGAGCAAACCGTTCAAATACACCTACGAGAAGGAGATTGTCATATATCCGCCCCCAATGTTTTTTCGTGTTCAGTCTCTTTTACCCCTTGTACCCCGCACTCTCTAGAATACGAGCAAGCACTTCAAATACACCTACGCGAAGGAGATCGTCATATATTCGCCCCCGATCTGAGATCCACAAAATTTCCCTTGCCTCTTGATTTTCGATGTGTGCTTGATTTATCTAGGCTTTTCTATGTACTTCAGTTCTCTTTACAATTCCTGTGGCCATGCCCTTTTTTCGATCAGCAAAGTAGAATAAATATATTCCCTTGTAATCCAGCATTCCTTAACTCCTCTCCTCTTCTCCAACCCCCTCGCTTTTCCTTGCTCTTTCCTCACTCCCTCCTCTCTCCTCCTTACCCCACTCTTTTCTTCCCCCTTGTTCGTTCCCCTCCCTCCCTTATCCCCGCTCCATCCGTGCTTTCTCTGTTTTCATCCATCTCCCCCGTTGCTCACCTCCCTTTGTCATCCCACGATTGCGATCCTTCCCCGTGCTCCCCCTCCCCTTCCCCGTGCTCCCCCTCCCCTTCCCCGTGCTCCCCCTCCCCTTCCCCGTGCTCCCCCTCCCCTTCCCCGTGCTCCCCCTCCCCTTCCCCGTGCTCCCCCTCCCCTTCCCCGTGCTCCCCCTCCCCTTCCCCGTGCTCCCCCTCCCCTTCCCCGTGCTCCCCCTCCCCTTCCCCGTGCTCCCCCTCCCCTTCCCCGTGCTCCCCCTCCCCTTCCCCGTGCTCCCCCTCCCCTTCCCCGTGCTCCCCCTCCCCTTCCCCGTGCTCCCCCTCCCCTTCCCCGTGCTCCCCCTCCCCTTCCCCGTGCTCCCCCTCCCCTTCCCCGTGCTCCCCCTCCCCTTCCCCGTGCTCCCCCTCCCCTTCCCCGTGCTCCCCCTCCCCTTCCTGTCTCCCCCTTGCCCCACCACTCCTTCCATCTGTTCCTCACTCCCTTCCACTGTGTAACCACGTAACCTGCTTCAATGCAACGTTGTAACATTGGTTGGTCTGTCAACGTTCGATCAGCACGTACGCGCATTTCAAGAAGCTGGATTACTTCTCCACCGAATGTAAGAATCCCTCTTGCTTATTCAGAAAACAATCTACACGAACGTTATGGGAGTCCCAACGCTGGGTGAACGTTATGGGAGTCCCTGTCAAATAGGCCGACGCTGGGTCCCAACGTGCTCGTTGCTCCCAACGTGCTCGTTGCTCTTGTTTTGAAGGTTACCATGATTGGAATGGGCACCCTAACTAAACAGTACTGGCAAACTGCTTCTTCTCTAGGCGACTTTTGATTCGACTCATGAGTCACCAAGAATATCTGCGTCTGCACCACCACAAGCACATCTGAACAATTCAGGTGACATGAACGGCTCCTTTTTCTGTCCAAAGTCAAGCAAGCGACCATCTGCTGCACTCTTCCCACATGCTTCCAACAGGTTTTCCTTCTGTCACCCCTCCAGTCATTTGTTTTGTTTGTCCCCCTTACTCTCGTCTGCCCTCTCCGCCCCGTACCTTTGCCTATGCTTCCACGCACCTTCCCTCGAGACACCTATCGTATCTTGGCACCTTCGAGTTTTGAGTTGACTCAAAACTTCCACGCACCTTCTCTCCAGACGCCTATCATATCTGGTTTTGAGACGTCTCAAAACACTTCTTCAAACACGTCGCCCCGTGCCTGTGTGTGCCTATGCTTCCACGCACCTTCCCTCAAGATGCCTATCGTATCTTGGCACCTTCCCCAGTACTTATCACCCGCTTCTCCTACCTAAAATGCAACAACCTCCTTCTCTCTCCCCTTCTCTCTCCCCTTCTCTCTCCCCTTCTCTCTCCCCTTCTCTCTCCCCTTCTCTTCTCCCCTTTGCTCTCCCGTGCATGTGCGTGCAGGCATCTATTCTCCAGACGCCTATCGAGGCTTTGCCCGTGAATTTATCAAGGACCTAGAGGCCATACGGTGAGTGCGTGATTGTAAACCATACGGCAAGTAAGTGGTTTTTGAGTCGACTCAAAAGACGCCTATCGAGGCTTTGCCCGTGAATGCATCAAGGACCTAGAGACCATACGGTAAGTGGGTGCTCATCTTTTGAATGGTAGCCTTGCGGCCATGGTGCTTACCTATCCAACTCTACTTGAATTGAACCACCAAGGAAGCCTATCGAGGCTTCGCCCGTGATTTTTTCAAGGACCTAGAGGCCATACGGTGAGTGGGTGTGTACCGTGACATATGCTGTCCATGTGCCCATGCAGTTACTTGCTCTCCTCCTCAAATTCTCAAAAGCGACATCCATCATCCACCAGGACTTAGAGGGCCATTGCTCGCCCATGTGCGGTCAGGTCAGGCCTCGAGCCATTCTGGACACAATCAAGTCTGCGGAGGAGTTCAGATTCTAAGTTGACAACAGGGTGAATACTTTAGAGTTCTTCTTGGTGTGCGAAATTAATCGTCCCAAGTGTTTGCTCACACTCTCAGGCATCAAGCCATTCTGGACATATTCAAAATTACTTCGAGCCATTCTCGGGCATCAAGCCATGCTTGGAGGAGCTCAAATTCCTTCAAGCTGAGCATGGGTTCAAAAAATATAACCGCTCCTCTTGGTTTGCAAAATTCAATTTCCCCTGTGTGTGTGCTTATTCAGGCCACGAGCCATTCTGGACATAATCAAATCTGCGGAGGATTTTAGATTCCAGGCTGATGCAAAGATGCCAACTCAGCGCACCTGTGACCGATGTGGTTACATCTCCAGCCAGGTACGGTTACATCTCGATTCAGGTGTAGTTACATCTCCAGCCAGATACGGTTACAATGTAACGCATGAAACCGACCCGCCTATTGTAGGTATCTGTTAGCTGCTTCGTGCATTCGAATGGTTCTTCATTGAATATAACGTGTAATACAGCAAGGTAATGTTACGTATAGCTGGAAGTACAGGCATGCATGTGTAGAGACTTAAGGCAGCTCGAAGTCAGCTGCTTCTTGCATTCACTCTTCCTCGAGGTGTCTGTACAGGCAGTGCTTGCCGAATCTCGAGGCGCCTCAAAAGCCGAGACGACTGTTGACTTTTGAGGCGCCTCAATAGTTACCTCGAGGTTTCTGTAGAGGCAGTGCTCGCCGAATCACCTCCTTGTTAGTCCTTCTGCATTTTCCACCAAAATCAACTCCTCTTTTCCATATCAGCAGGAACTCTGCCGGTGTGCTCCTGGAAGGCATGAATCACGATCGTGTGAAACTCTCCTCTCTCCTCTCTCTTCTCTCCTCTCTCCTCTCTCTTCTCTCCTCTCTCCTCTCTCTTCTCTCCTCTCTCCTCTCTCTTCTCTCCTCTCTCCTCTCTCTTCTCTCCTCTCTCGTCTCTCTTCTCTCCTCTCTCGTCTCTCTTCTCTCCTCTCTCCTCTCTCTTCTCTCCTCTCTCCTCTCTCTTCTCTCCTCTCTCCTCTCTCTTCTCTCCTCTCTCCTCTTTCGACCTCTCTCTGCTCCTCCCTGCCTGCACCCCTCAAACTGAATTCCCAGGAGCTCAGAAAGGGTGTGTGCTCCTGGAAGGGTTGAATTACAATGGCTTAATAATCGCTTCTTTCCCTCCCTTCCCTCTTCCCAAGAACATTTCACCAGGAGATTGCAAGGCGTGTGTGCTTCTGGAGGGGTTGAATCACAATGGATTAAGAGTCGCTTCTTTTCCTCCCTCACTTCTTTCCCTCTTCCCGAAATTTTATTACCAGGAGCTGTGCAAGGCGTGTGTGCTCCTGGAAGGGTTGAATCGCGGCTTGCCCCGCCTGGGCGTGGCTCGCACTCGCAGGAAAGATGGGCAAAACGCTGCTGCTAGGGGTGCTGCTACTGGTGATGCTGCTACTGCTGCTAGTGCTGCTGGTGCCGCTGATGCTGCTGGTGGTGGTACAAGCTGAGACAGCCGCTGCTGGTACTGCCGCCACTGTTGATGCTGTTACACTTGTTGCTGCTGGTGTGCCTCCTGCGGCTAATACAGAGGCTACCAACTGATGCCAATCAAGCAGGCAATCAATCTCAGCAGCTTTCAATTCTCTTGCCTCATTGCCACAGGTTATGGCTTCTGACTTGCTTGCTCATGCGTGTATGTAAGAAAGGGACAAGCAGGGAGCAGGTGTAATGCTGCTGTAACAGAGCGGATCATTGGCCCCACTAGCAAGTGTTCTTCCCAGCTCTGTGTTGCAGCAGCATGTCTCGAAGTGTGATGTATCTGCGAGGTTTGCGTAAGTACTGGTAGACTGGACAAGCAGGAGCTTCTGAGTCTCAGATCCACTCGTGTATGGATTAGATTCCAGTGGTACTGATGATGAAGAGTAAATTTGCTGGTGATCCCGCTGAAACGGTATGCTTATCAATTAGATACACAAGTTCAAAACAAGACTTAACCCTCCACCACACCGCACCCATCTAAATCACACTACTTATCCATTCCTCATCCATCCCTACCTTGTCCACTTGCTCCCGCTGATCTTCTGTCACATTTTACTCCGAACCGCAATAAACTTGGTAAGTTCAACATCCTCTCGCGATGTCTGCAAGGCAGTACCAGCGCGCGCGAGATTCCTCGTATTTACACGTGCGCTTGTTAGGAAGCGCTCTTATTCGTCCAAACCAGACCCCTCCGTCACTTGCGGACGAGGGAGGTCTGGTATCTTAGCGCGAAATAGAACAGGATCCTGTACCCGATAAAAAACGACACCATCACCACTGCAGACTCCCAGAGCTTGCTGTCCGCCATATCGAATCTCGCAATAACGGTGTCGGAGGTGACTATACAGGGCGAGGACGGGTCGCTCTTAACGAGGTATTCCCAGCAGACGGAGGGGAGAGAGCCGTACTCGTTGAGAGTGAGCATTTCCAAGGGGTACTTGAAGGTGGAGAGGTAGTTCATCCAGATCCAGTACGGTGGAATGTTGTTCCTGAGTGCGGGGAAGAGGGGGGATGGAGAGAGCGGTAGATTAGAGACGTGGTGGGGACTTACGGGAAGAGTTAGGAGGGAGCCATGCTTGTGGATAGAGAGCATCTGAAAAGCGGTAATAATTGGAGGAAAAATACTATATCCAGATCCAGTACGATGGAATGCTATCCACGAGTATCTTACTTTGAAATGAAGAAGCCACTAAAGAGGAAGAAGAACGCCGTGATCGCCGTGACCACGGTATTCCCGGTGATGTAATTCGGCACGAACGCCGCGAAGAACACGACGAACGAATTCCCCACCGCGAGCGTCAGAAACACCGTCGCGACGAAGCGGAAAAACGCCGTCGCCGTCGCCGCGAGGCCGACCATGAAATACGCGACGCACGAGAAGAGCAGCGAGAGGAGGAAGAGGAACGGTAGGAAAACCAGCGCGCCCGCGAGCACGTACGATCCCGTGCGGTACGCGCCGCGCGATGTTTCCCGGATGTAGATCTGCCGTTCGTCGAGGAAGATCGGAAGGCCCTCGGTGGACGTGAACAGGAGTAGCGCGAGCGCGAACGCGAAAAACGACGCGCGGTTTGTGATGCCTTCCGCGTCGTACCCCGATTTAAGAAACAGCGACCCGAGAATAAGCCCAGTGATCACCATGAGGCCGATACGCGATAAGAAGAGCTCCGGCGTTCGGAAGATGTTTTTAAAGTTGCGATCGGCGAGCGTTAGGGTTTCGTGGAGGAAGGGCGTGGCGAAGGTTCGCGGAGGAGGGGAGGCGTGGTGGTGCGGGCCGAGCGCGCTGTGGGTGGCGAGGGACCGCTCGTGCTCATAGCGCTCCTTCTGTTAAGAGGGCAGGGGCAGTGGAGGGGAGTGGGAAGGGAGAAGAGGGGAACGGGGAAGGGAGGGGGGAAGATAAGGGGAACATGGGGGACGCCTGGCGGTGCAGGCCGAGGGCTCTGTGGGTAGCGAGGGACCGCTCGTGTTCGTAGCGCTCCTTCTGGAGAGGGCAGGGGCAGTGGCGGGGAGGGGATGGGGGAAGCAGGGGCTAATTGGGTGAGGCGTGGCGTTGCAGGCCCAGAGTGCTGTGGGTGGCGAGGGAACGCTCCTGCTCGTATCGCTCCTTCTGGTGGAAGGGGATGGAGGAAATGGGAGGAAGGGAGGGGTTAGAGGTGGGGAAGGAGAGGAGGGGGGGGGGAGACGCAGTGGTGATGCCGGTGGCGGTAACACCTTCTGGTGGTAGAGGAGGGGGGTGGGTTGAGTCATGACACCTGCCTGCCATGGTGGGTTGAGCCATGGCTTGTACCATGGTGGGTTGAGCCATGGCTTGTACCATGGTGGGTTGAGCCATGGCTTGTACCATGGTGGGTTGAGCCATGGCTTGTACCATGGTGGGTTGAGCCATGGCTTGTACCATGGTGGGTTGAGCCATGGCTTGTACCATGGTGGGTTGAGCCATGGCTTGTACCATGGTGGGTTGAGCCATGGCTTGTACGTACCATGGTGGGTTGAGCCAAGGCTTGTACGTACCATGGTGGGTTGAGCCATGGCTTGTACGTACCATGGTGGGTTGAGCCAAGGCTTGTACGTACCATGGTGGGTTGAGCCATGGCTTGTACCATGGTGGGTTGAGCCATGGCTTGTACGTACCATGGTGGGTTGAGCCATGACTCATACCATGCCCTCAGAGTGCACATGGACTGAGCTCGTCATACCAAGGTATGCCATCCAACCCATTCCGTGTCACCGTCACTGGTCGTTGCACTTACGCTGAATCAAATGAGCTTATCCAGCCCCCTCCCCTTCACACCATACCATGACCTTGATTCCAGTCATGAGTGAATGCATGCATCCATCCCACGTCCCATACACTGTCGCTGGTAGCTGCATTTACACCTGAACCGGATCAGGACATTCAGCCCCCTCACCTTCAGATCACCCCATGGCATTGGTTTCAGTCATGAGTGAACGCAT